AAATTATACAGAAGCACGGAGTGTGCCTTCAAGAACAATTTTCGTCTACTCTTATAAGTTACTCCCAAAGAATTTGAGAGCTTTCATTGAACATGACTACAAATTTAGCGTTCAAACTGCTAGCGCTTATTGTTTAGATTTCATCGCCGTGTTTAACCGGATGTGATGAACCGTCAATTAATTAGTTAATATTTCGACTGGAAAATTTTCTTGTCTTTAATACGAGTCAAAACCAAGCTAAAAAAAGAGACTCAGCATTGTGGAGTACAAGTATTCCGGTTCAAGGAACATTACAGAATATTGTAGTTTGCTCGATAAAAAACGCTTCAATACAGCAAACATTAACCGAAACATGAGATTTTGGTTCATTTTAGCTTTTCCTCTGTTGCTCACGGCAAACGCAACGAATGGAACGAAAAGTACCGATGGCAAATCATTTGTCTGCAACCAGTACAACGGACATAACGCTGAAACAAACCAAGCAATCAAGAAAATCGACAAAAAACTGGATCAGATAATTGAAATGCTACAGCCTTCTCCTAATACCGGTAAGAAATTCTTTGAACAGCGTTTTGTGATGAATTCATTATGAAATAGTTCGAGACTTCAGGAGTGATTAACCTGAATGCAAACCATGAAAAAATATCTCATATCTCAAAGTGTTTCTTACAGAATGGTGTGGAAAGTCTTCTTTTTACAAATAACACGCTTCATATTCTTTTATTTTTGGTCCCACAGCCTCAACGTGCAAGGAAATCTACACCAAGAACTTGTAAGTATATACGTCTACAAACAGTTATAACAAAGACTTCCAAAAAAAACGAATTGGTTCCAGAATAAATGTTCGTATCGGTAAATTTATGTAACTAAGGTAAAGGCAATCTAAAGAATGCTTAAATTCTATGGAAAATTGTTATTGTGGGTTTCATTTGAAGTAGGCAAATATTGCAGCGCTAAAAGCCCTTAAAACACTAAACCTTGAACTGATTTAGATTTGATCTTAAAAAAAGACTGGCTTTTAAGGCCACCAACGGAAAACACAGAGAACTGCTTCTGAATATTCTTCAGTATTTTTGAAAATAAAAAGAGATAATTGGTGTCCTAATGATTACAAATAAACTAAAATACCGATAAGAAAATGGTAAGAAAATAATAAGAATTAAAAAGAATCAAAATTAAATAGAAAACTAAGACAATTTACTAAACACTCAAGCTGGAAGGATAGTTAATGAATCAATAACTTGAGAGGATTGAACAGTAATGATATATATGATATATATGGTGGTAAAGAAGAGTCCTTCTTATCGACAAAGTCAGTAATAACAACACTACTCGATATTTTTATAAGATTATTCAATTTCGACCAAACATTGCTTATCTGATAAGACAGATTTCTTTAACGAGAATTCTGATTTTCCATGGCGTCCTAACTTTAACAGAAACAAACAAACAAACTGGGAGTAATCAATAAAGTGGTATGTTTTAACAGGTCCAGTGAAAATAAAGCGTATTTGCTTGATGTTGGATCTGCAAAGATTCCCGTATACTGTCACATGACCAAGCATGGGCTTGATATTTTTATTAATTTTAAAAAGGCGGTTAAATAGGGGACTTGTAAAAATGAGATGAAATAAAATTTTGCATTAAAAGGCCAGAAACTCTGCTTCTTTGATGACTGAGTTGCACTTCTGACAGGAGCTATTTTGTCTTCTGAAAGCTTATTCAAAGTTGCGATTTCACACGAATTCATTCATTTTCCGCTGGTAATTGTAGCTTAAAAACAAAAAAATAAGATTTGTATTTCCTTCTCTACCTCAAATCCTTACCTTCATTATAAATTCACAAATGCTTCAGCTTCTTGAACGGCAGCGTCGTTTTCTTTGATGACATTCACGATGTGTAGCGACAATTTTTATCATTTTAGCACTTAGGAAAGATTTAAAATAAAATTCTGGCAGAATGATGCAGAATGTCTCAGTATGTATCTAATAAAAACAATACCACTTAGAAAAAGCTTTGTACGGTATTTACGCACTCGTTTTTCTATTAGAAATCACACTTGTTCGCTGCGCTCACTCGTTCGATTTCTAATACGTCAACAACTCGTGCAAAAATTCCCTATGCGCGCACTTTCCTTGAAGTAAGCTATAGTGTCCTGCTTATCGACCAAGTTAGTAATGACAAGACTACTCGACATTTCACGATTTGACCAGACGTCGCTAATCTCATGTATACACTTTGAAACGACAGATTTCTTTTTCGGGAATCCTAAATTTGCATGACGCCCTAACTTGGACAGAAGTAAGTATCACTTTATGATTTACTTCTAAATATTATGTGAGCAGCCGACTTAAAATGCAGTAGTAACACAGGATTTAACTGAAGGTTGACTTTTGTTTTAACATACACCGATCTACACCAGCAAGAAGATATAAGTCGAATAAATATTAATTTTCGATACGTGAAATAAAATAGTTAAACAACACAACAGTTCAATCTTCTTAAATAATCAATATTATAATAATTACATGACCGCATAGAAATGTAATTCAAACAAAAGAAACCCTATGTAGACACTACTAGAATAAATGAAAATTTTCATGAAAGAATAAGCCGTTATGAATATTGAATACTCAATCATTAAACTTTTCCCCGTCAGAGCCAAAAAACAATAAAGGGTTTATAATGTGAAAAAGTAGGATGCAATACCAAAAACAAACATTATCTTCAAGTTCTTCCGTTAGAGAGAATTATGCAATCTTACTTCAGCTGAGTTGGTCTCTTAGGGCCTGTTTACATGGAAGTGGGGTACCCTAGATAGGTGAGGTGACCCGCCTAGGTGGGGTAACCCGCCTGTCCATATAATCTCATTTGAATGTGATCACGTTTACATGTTAGGTGGGGTAACCCGCCCCATGTTACCTCACCTACCTGGGGTCCCCCACCTTCATGTAAACAGACTCTTATACAGTTTCACGCCGGAACTGTCAGTCACACACGCCATGCGGTAGTCTGAATCGAGAATCTTTTAACCCCAGCAGGGAATAATTTTAAAAAAAAGACCAGTTTCCTCCAACAGAGTTGGTACTAAAAGAAGAGAATGAAGGCATTTGCGAAGGTAAAAAAAAAGAAAATAACTAAACGAAGACAATTGTGAGAAATGACCTTGTTAAGAATTCAAAGCGAAGAGTCGAGGTCTCAAATTTCGCAGCAAAAAGAACCACCTCAAGGTATTCATCTTTTCTTGTTTGATGTTTAACTTGTTAACGATTGCAAATAAAAGATTCAAACAATTATATCTATAATCAACTAGTATAATTTCAGAATTGTCTTCAAAGCAGAGCGCAGTGGATACAATTTCAGCTGTTACAATGGGCGATTTTTCCTCAAATTAAAATATGTCAACGTCGACGGTTTTTTTTAACAACTTTGAGATATACATGTACTTTAAGTTTTGTAAATATTCACGACAGTTAACTTACTCGCATTCAGCGAATAATTAAAACAACAAAACTCAAGCAGCGGAGCTGAAATGAAAGGCCGTCACAATTTGATTTCTAAGAGTTGCTGCTAATTTTTTCATAACTTTTTGCTTTCTAAAAAAAATTTTTCAGTATTTTACATGGCACCTCATTAGTTTTCTCCGGTTAAAGTGTTTTGAATGGCAATTATTTACTTAATAACCCTACTGGAAAATTTTCTAGTCTCCCCACAAGCCAAATCTCAGGTCAAGAAGTGAGACAACCTCATACAGTTTGAGTTACTCTCACGTTGAAAGGAGTTTTGGAGAAATACTGAAGTGCATTGCACCCATTTACCAGGTTATTGCAATGAAACTTTGGCTTACTGCAACTTTCTTTGTAATTTTCGCGCAATGCACAGCGAATGGGGCCAACATTACCAACAACACACATGTAGTTCGCGCCGACAAAAACGGTGAGACAGTTGTATGCAATCAGTACATTGGACAGGGCGCTGAAACTAGCGAGGCTATCAAGAACCTTGATGAAAAACTATCAAAAAAATTAGACCAGCTAATTAAACTGCTACAGCCTTCTCCTACTCCAGCAAATCCTACTCCAGGTAAGAACGTTTTCTCCACAATTTATTCTGACACACAATGCAGTTTCCTANTTACTTAATAACCCTACTGGAAAATTTTCTAGTCTCCCCACAAGCCAAATCTCAGGTCAAGAAGTGAGACAACCTCATACAGTTTGAGTTACTCTCACGTTGAAAGGAGTTTTGGAGAAATACTGAAGTGCATTGCACCCATTTACCAGGTTATTGCAATGAAACTTTGGCTTACTGCAACTTTCTTTGTAATTTTCGCGCAATGCACAGCGAATGGGGCCAACATTACCAACAACACACATGTAGTTCGCGCCGACAAAAACGGTGAGACAGTTGTATGCGTTCAGTACATTGGACAGGGCGCTGAAACTAGCGAGGCTATCAAGAACCTTGATGAAAAACTATCAAAAAAATTAGACCAGCTGATTAAACTGCTACAGCCTTTTCCTACTCCAGCAAATCCTACTCCAGGTAATTTTTCCTCCATGTAAATGTAAGTATTGTCATTAGAAGTGTTGTAACCAAAAAAAAAGAAAAAAGAAAAATTAAAATTAAAAAAAAGAACGTTTTCTCCACAATTCATTCTAACACACAATGCAGTTCCCTATTTATTTTGTCATGAAACTAAAAAGATTCTAACCTTATTCACACTCACTGAAATGTGAGGACATTCAATTTGACCAGTGACAAAGACATTTTGCAATTCGCCTTAGCAAGTTTTTGGTTCTTGCCTATGTATATTTTTGGCTGAATTAGTAGTAGTGCATAAGCAATTTAAGGAAGCCGACGGTGTGGTAAACTAAAACATAAAACTTAATGCTAACGGTATCATTGAGATAGGGTCCTTTCAGTGTTGCCTACAATAATGTAAACGTGTTAATTAATCAACGGCCGTCTTGCATTCAGTTTTAAATTGTTCCTTGTACGTGGTCTTGATATGGCTAATATAATTTTCTAATTCTCAACAGCTACAACGTGCAAGGAGATTTACGACAAGAAATTTTACGTATATAGAAGATTTACGATACACTATTCCACTTCATTTTCAGAAACACTTTTCTCCTTTGTAGACACGAAGCTAAGCCTTAAAATATTATCGCCAAAATCTACTTTCGTTCATCAGTCGAGACAAAACGAAATTTCCAAGGCGCGAGTATACTGAAATGACGTGTACTATTGCGTGTTGAAAAAAACGGAGAGAATTGAGATCCACCAACTACAAATGATCTACACTTTGTTTTTGGCTTGACAGCACAAGGATTTATATATCAAATAATCACGAAAACTGTTTTAACAAAAACTAAAGTTACTGGGTAAACATAAGAAAACAACACTAAAATAAATCGTAAAATACAGTATGTCTTTAAGGACGCGTTTACATGGAGGTGGGGGACCCCAGGTAGGTGAGGTAACCCACTTAGGTGGGGTGAAACAATAAACCTCCTTTACATGCAATCTTACAACCTGCCATCCCGGGGTGCACTTTGTCAAGATTATTGAATGGTCGCTAAGCACGTACACAAGAAATATGCTGGCAAACCACGTGTTTTGGCGTTTAATGCTCTTCAACACTCACTTGTTGCTCTTGCTGCAAAATTCAGTGCTGTGGCTTTCTATTGTTTCCTTTAATAATGATGCAAAGCCACCACCAAAGTGAATTTTGCGCGAATTTGATGTATCACGAATCCGAGCCCGGCCAGGCGGGTTACCCCACCTTGAACGTTTACATGGCAAAATTTGACCCCGCCTGAGAGGGTTACCCGGTCTGGCAGACCGGGCTACCCGCCTTGGCGGGTCACCCCACCTATCATGTAGACGTGATCAAATTAAAATAAAAGATCATATTGACAGGCGGGTGACCCCACCAAAGCGGGTTACCTCACCTACCCTGGGGTCCCCCACCTCCATGTAAACAGGCCCTAAGAGTCTAGACTTCAAGATAGCAAATAAAAACAGAACAAAATTGTGGAAATGGAAACATTTTGGGCATCCCACTGATGAACAGTCACGACCTATTATACATTTTCGGCAACAAAATTTTGGTATCTGTCTACTTCGAATTGGGTCATTCTTTTTGTTGAATATTTTAAGATTAAGATGACAAAGGGCGGGAATCGATCCAGTATTAAGGGTAAAAATAAACTAAAATACCGATCACTAGTTTTGGGAGAAAAAAGCCACGAAATAAGAAAACTCAGTGAAATTACGCTCAAGCTGGAAGGATAGTTAAGTTAGTCGCGACGCCGGCGCGGTAAAAAATAATAAGACGAGAAGGCAAAAAAGACGGTAACGAAGAGTTCTGCCCGTCAACAAAATCAGTAATGACAACGTTAAACAAAATTCTCAAATTATTTACAGTCGACTAAACCTTGCGATTTCTTCAAAGCTCATAGGAAGTCTTCTCCATAGGGCAGATAATTTCTTTTGGGGAAAGTTCTCAATTGCCATTGCGCCCTTAATAAGACAACCTTCTCTAATCCCAAATAAGCGAAATATCTCATAGGCTGAAGTGAACCAATGAAGTTGTATGTTTCATCAGGTCCAAAGGAAACAAAGCATATTTGCTTGATGTTGGATCCAAAAAGATTCCCATATATTGTCACATGACCAAGCATATGCTTGATACATGCGGAGGAGGTGGATGGACGCTTGTCATGAAGATCGATGGCTCAAAGGTATCAAATTTTAAGTGTTCTCACAAGTAATTTTGGTCTGGCACCTTCTAATTCCCACTATAAACGATAACTTACAGTGCAAGTCAAGAGTCTAAGCCAAGGGGAGAAAGGGAATCTAGTAAGTGTAGGTTTAAAAAGAGTTGGCTCAATGATGAATCAATTCACTGTAAGTCACGAGTACCAGACAAGGTACTAAGAGAATAATATCTGAGGACAAGATTAGTAAACAACAAGATGTGACTGTACCATATTTGTCGAAAAGATAAAACTGCAAAGCGATAGTAATTTATATAAATGGTGTTTTTGTTTTTCAAATGCACCCAGAAAACCTTTCACTACAATTCCAATCTCTGGAGCAACACAGTCGACTTCAATCTTCCAGGAGGGAAGACTGGGTTGGACACTCGCGAGACCAAGTTACCGACTTATTGGAACACACCGTTTAACAAGATCTGTCTTGGAATGAGGGTTGGTCACCAGTTCTCCTCTGTTGTCATCAACTATCAAGCCAGATCCCTGTATTCATTGATCGCAGATGGCAAATACCGAGCTACTTCACTGGGCCGCAACACGTGGAAGAAGCTCATTGGGTCTCGGGCCTCTTTACAACCCAATTGCAACAAGGAAGGATTCAACGTACTGAGTTCTAGCCGACACAGCAAAGCAAGAATTGGTATCTATAGCAACAGAGAAAATGACTGTAACAGTTGTGACTCCAGGATCGGGTTTGGCACTGGAGGGTACCCTAATGACTCCAATACGTGTGGTAACGAAGCTGATAAAGACGGAACAGATAACGGCGACCAGAGCATCAAAGCTATGGGATACATCTTGGTTCAATAACAGCTGTAATACGAAGAAACAGCCTTCAAACAGCCTTAATGAAATGCAACTAAGTAACTGTTGATTGCTGTAAAAAAGCGGATTAAAAAGTGAATCTAGAATAAGGGACTTTGTAAGACTGGGATGAAATAAAACTTTGCATTAAGCCCACAAAGACGAGTTCACTGATAAATGTGTTTTTTTTGAATAACTTGGATTTACGTAGATGAATTTTGGTCAACCTTGTGTCAACGTCATTAACTTTTCATGATAATCGACGGTTACAAGGTAACAGAAATCAGCAGAAATTCGGGGAAAAAAAACAAGGCCAATCACTGCCGTACGTAACAAAGCCTCACACGATTCGCTGAAAAAAAAAAAATTCCGTACAAACCTATTCAAGAATGGAACGTAGCGCGAAAACAAAAGGGCTGCGACATTTAGGGTTCCAATAAAATTAATGAGAAGTAAAGAGTTGCGACACATTTCGGTTCAAAAAGTAACATTTGGCCAACCCGCAAAAAAAGCGTTGTATTAAAATAGTATAAAAGCTATACTTCAATGGAAGGTGAACAACTAACATAGGGAGACCTCTTCCTTTCCACCTCACAGAAACAATATCCATGACCAAACATTTAACACTCCCTTTCTAGTATGAATCACTGTTCTCGGTGTTTCTCAGCTTGATCAGATTTTATTAAGTCCGTCGACAGGAGAGCTCATCTACTAAAAGGTGAGAGATTCGCACATTATTCTCACCTGCTAACCTAGATTCTCATATTTACAAGGGAGTACACCGTCCGGTGTACACTACTTTATATAAACGGGTTGACATTTACACTAGACTCCTTTGTCGACGTCAGTGTATTGAAAAGAAATCTTCCTTAAATACCTTAAAGCAAGAGTGTCAAAAATCCTCTGCATCGGTGGTGGCAGGCGTTTAATGAATAATCACACTCCCTGATTTCCAAGCATAAAAAGACTTTCTGATTTTCGAAATAAACGTCTGACCACAATTCCAACGTCCGTAACCTCTTCTATGAATGTAACCATCATATTGTCTTAGACAATGTTAAACTCGAAATACCACAAGCAACTCTTCAAGGGGACGTGGATCCCAACCCTGCGAATGACCACATTGTTATCACAAAGGTCTAAAAATCCTTAAAGCGAACCTAAGCTTAACAATCACTCATTTACGGTGTACCCCTTAACTGAACCTTTTGCATGTTTTTATTAATTTTAAATATTACCACGCGTACCTACATCGAGAACTTGACATAACTAATGCCGGTGGATTCGGGTTAGTCAATTTGCAAAAAGTGAGTCAGTGGCAAAGAAATCAAACAATTCCTGATATCATCAGTAGCTCTAAACTAAAAATACAAGTTCATGACGGTAGTTTTTACACAGAGAAATTGCCTGTGCTACACAGGCAGTTGAAAAAAATAACACTAGATTTCATGCTTATCTTTACTAACTAGATAAAAAAAGAAAAGGAAATCTTGGTTGAGCGCATGCGCTATTAAATACGGTGTACTTGTTAGTTTTTTTGGTTTCTTTTCAAGCTACAGAAAGGCGACTTATTTCTCTGCAAAATTTTACAAGTGGGACAAACCTGTACATGAAATTTTGATAGCCGGGATCCGTGATTCGCTGTTTTTTTCTGTTCGTGAACAGTGCGAGAGACTCCCCGCCCCCCACTCCCCTATACGAACCTCTGTACAGCTCAACCGCAAATAACACATTTATCGAACTATCAGTTTAATATGATAATTATCCACAAGAACTTATTTGCATGGTGCCATTCTAAATCCGTATGCATAGTCCAAACTGTTTTCATATTGCCTCTATTCCTTTCTTTTCCTTGTTTTCTCTTTCCCTCTTATAACTGTCTAGATTGCCAGCAAGCTATCAGGGATGAGGGGCAGGGGTATGAGTAAACGAGGTCTCTCCTTTTCCTATTACCGAAGCCCCCCTCCCACCCCCCGCCCCGACGAGAGCTTAAGTCTTTCCATCCAGTCAACCATGTAGTGATTTTAGAAAGAGCAAGAGACAGCCGCATTCGAGAAAATCTGACTTCCAACAAAAACAAAACATGACGCCGTTAAATTGACGTCTTTAACAGAAACAATAATTATAAAATAACTCACGAATTGCGTTGTAAACCGTCGAGACCCTTATCGTTTTACGAATTTTTTTTGTTCTTTTGCTTTGTCTTTATAAGTAAAGGAACAATAAAAGGCACTGTACAGAGCCAAAGGCCATTATACTATTGTCAAAATATATACAAAAGAACGGTGTGTGTCTTTAACCATAACTTTTTTTTATTTCTATAAGTTACTTCCAAAGAATTCAACAGCTCTTCGTGAACATTATCACATATGTACCTTTCAAACTGCTGGCGCTTTAATATTGTTTAGATTTCAACGCCGTGTTTAACCGGACATGATGAATCACGCAATTAATTAATCAATATTTCGACTGGAAAATTTTCTTGTCTTTAATACGAGTCAAAACTAAGCTAAAGAAAAGAGAGAGAGGTAAAACAGACGTCCAAGGGAAATAGAAGACAATCCTTACGCAAACTTTGAGGGCGTATAGTGAGGTGTATTTTGGGTAATGTGAAAATGGTAAATTGCCATTATCAGCAAAACAACTGCATTTCAGAGAGCCATAAAAAATAAAAGCGTATTTATGATAATATCAGAAAAAAGATTACATTAAATGGATAAATAAGAAACACATAGGTTACTTAGTCGCATCTCTTTCCTCCACATAAACGAATATCAGGAGAAACATTTCTCCGCAAATCTATTCACGCTTTTTTAAAACGATTAAAAACGTACGAAAACACCCTGTACTTCCCACAGAGAGTAACGCAACATTGAATCGATCACTTTCGTGGTCATTCTGGCTCCAGAGGTCACGCGAGCAATCTCTTGGAGAGACCGGGGTTCGGGGGAAAAGAAGAGTTTCTCCTTACCCTCCCCTCCCTACTCTGCTCCCGCACACAAATGTCTGATGTATCCTTAGCCAGTCATCCATGTAGTGATTAAATAACAAGCCATAAATTCATTGGAGAAACTC